GACTCAGTGAAGATGGCGTGAAGCCAGCCGAATCTGTCTCTTCTTTCTGTCCTCCTTTTGTTCCTGCCATTTACCCAGAGGAGAAAACAAAACTCTTTCATTATCTTTTAACATGACATAAAAATCATCTTTGAAAAAGAAAACCGAATTTCATGTTTGCATTAGTGCGTCTTTAATGCTAAAGCTAGTTTTTACATACAATTGTATATATCTATCCAGTTTTAATTAGTTTGACCATAAGGTAAGATTTTCATAAACTTTTTAGAACGCTTTATAATTTTCCCATCCAAAGACAGTAGATTTCATTTTTAACCTTTATTTTCATCAACAGCAGATCCATTTTCTAAGAAAATCCTGTTATTTGGACATATGGGCCCAGATTCTGGCCCCACGTCAGTATGATTTGAATGTTTTAACCTTTGGAAAAATGCTAAATAATTTTTTTTAGCTCTTGGCCAACTTGTTTATACTAACAGAATGTTTTACAAGATCAACCCTTTACAAACCCTTTTCACTTTCCTTAAACCTTTAGTTTTGTCCCGTTACTCTTTTAGGTTAAGACAATCTTTAAAACCCTCGGGTCGGCACAGTGGCTCACGCTTGTAATCCCAGCACTCTGGGAGGCCAAGGTGGGCGGATCACAGGGTCAGAAGATTGAGACCATCCTGGCCAACATGGTGAAACCCCGTCTCTACTAAAAATATGAAAATTAGCTGAGCATGGTGGCGCACACCTGTAGTCCCAGCTACTCAAGAGGCTGAGATAGGAAAATCGCTTGAATCCCGGAGGCGGAGGTTGCAGTGAGCCAAGATCGCACCACTGCACTCTAGCCTGGCCACAGAGCGACACTCCATCTCAAAAAAAAAAAAAAAAAAAAACCCTCAGAACTAGACAAAATTACATTCCCTTTAACAAAAGCCATATTCCTATGCCTTCTTACAATCTTTTACCAAAAACACATTCCCTACACACCTTGTATTTTTTAAAACTGTTTCTCCAGTGGTCTCAATTACATGTTATAGTATTAACTCTTAGCAACTTTTATTTTTGGTGAAAACTCTGATAAGTAAGAGATTTTAATTATGTATTGGGGTGGAGCCTAGGACATTAGACAGAAATGAAGATAAGGTCTGACTTTTTAGCATAGCTAGTGGGCATGGCTCTCCATACGTCCCCAGGCCTTATATATTAGCTAAGCCGCCAAAGTAGGTAAATCGAACAATTTTCAAAAGTCAAAGAAACGGTTTGACCTTAAAGCATTTAGCAAATCTGATATCTGACCTTAATTTAGGACAAATGTCTACATTTTCAAGACAACTTATTTTACCAATAATCTTTAAAACTGTCCTTATTTCCAAAAGGTTACTAAAGCCATGCGAACAAAAAGGCATTAAAGTTTCTATTGTTCTGACAAAATATTTTATTTAAGCCCTTTTTTCTAAGCCAATTAATCAGAGCTCTTTTATATATAAACGTCACACACACATACACACAGACACACACACACCTCACATGTAAATACAGACAGCAAGAAGATTGGGCACTTGTAAGATTTTTTCATTTGCCCGTTTCTTAATTGGATGACTGGCTTCAGGGTGGAGCCCTTGGAGGAACAGAGCTGGGAGAGCATGCATTTCTAGGACCAAATAAGTAACAAACAAACAGCTGAAGGCAAAGACAGATCTCCAAAGTTAAAGATGCCATTTTATACTAGTTTCTGGATCCCCCAAAGGAGGGAAATACTACGGAAGAAGACAGTGCAGTGCTTTTACCGACTGTGCATTTCATTACAAGGCAGCCCAAAGCCAATCAGCCCATTTTGTAATTAGCCCATCCTCATGAGAGTCTCATCTCCCAATGGGGGGTGAGCATGTTGCCTTATCTTCCAGGTGGCCAAGAGCATGCTTCTCTGATCTAAGTGTGAAGAGTCAAGTATCCCTCCATACTACTGTTAACCACCCCTTAAAGTATATTTCCTATCTAGTTATTACACACCAAAGCTCTCTCATAATGCAGAGTGATTGCTGATACCCCCCAAACTCAAAACCGTCAGATAACACAATGCAAAACAGAACAGAGTCTTTGATTTTGACAGGCATCTATCCACTTTGGCTGTATCCAATTTCTGGGGTTTCATGAGGAAAACAGTGTCCCCACCCCCCGCCCCCCCCGCCAAAACGCAGTCTCTGGTGCCTCCTCTGTTTTTCCCAATGAGTCCTAGGCTACCAGAAGTTATCTTAGGGCCTCTCATGTGCCTTAAGGATGACAAGACCAAAAAAAAAAAAAAAAAAAAAAGGAGAAAAATAATTCAGTCAACTGAGAAGAAAAAAATCTTTTTTCAGAAAAACAAGTTCCAAGAAGAGAAAAATATAAAGGCCTTTTAAATATACCTATAGCTTGTTTATCCACTTTTAATTAAGCTGACTTTTAACAAAGTACTCTCTAAAAAATAAATCCTTTCAGATATCTTATTACCCGACTTTAGCCATGCCACGCGGCCAATATTTCTGGTTTCTGAACTTTACCAAAGGTAACCTCCTCGGTTCTTCAAGGACATGGCAAGCAGTTTCTTTTCTACAAGATTTACAATCTCCACGAGGTAGTTCAGAGAAAGGAAAATTCAAGAGGGGAAATCAGAAGCTATCCATTGGTGGAAAAACACCTCAATAAATGGCAAAGTTACACAAATAACAAACCAGAAAGGAATCATTCCAGAAGCCAACAATTGAACCCAGGCCGCCACTGCCAAAAAGATAACACCTTAGCTGCTGAGCTATATAGCACTGAGCAGTTTCTACTGCTTTTTCCAGAAGGAGCTTAGAGAAGCCAATTTCAAGCTCACAAGGCTTTTATCTGCTCAAGAAAAATTTTTTGGACTAACTATGACATGAACCCCCAAATTCCTCTCCTCTGGATGGTGGAAACCAAAAGAAAGTATCCCCATGTGGTCACAAGATTTAGCTCTCAAGGACATAAAACAAGACATAGAAATGTCTTACAGTATTGTCTATCATATATCAAGTAGGAAAAATAAGTTACGGGATAGTATGACCTCATTTTTAAAAAACAAAAGAACTCCTGAAATGCCAAACTCTATATGTCCATGTTCATAGCTGTATCTTCGTCTAATCTATATTTATATGAGTCATAGGCATAGAACAAAAGCTAAGGAAAGAGGATACACAGCAGATTATTAATAGTTTATCTCTCGTAATGACATTGGGTAGAAAGGGATTATATTGTTATTTTCACTTAATATTGTTCTGTGTTTCAATTCGTCATTAAAATTATCTATAGCATGCATTTAAAATTGTTTTAATTTTTATTATTTTTAAATTTTGTTCACAAGTGCTGTCAGTAAGCATTTTTTTTTTTTGGAATTAACAAAATGATAAATATTTTTAAGTGACAATATAAAGTAGTTTCAGCTAGGTGCAGTTGAGCACACCTGTAGTCCTAGCCTGAAACTCTTTTTCAGGAGACTGAGGTGGTGAAACTGCCTTTGCAAAATTATGACCGAGACAATGAAAGAGATCTAACTTAACTGACTCCATCTCGCTTCTAATCTCCAAGCTGTCCTTGTTCATTCCTGGGTGTAGGCTGAACTAACTTTGGGAGAAACTTAGTTTATAGTTTAAACAAACATGGTAATAGCCCTTTCCCAAAGCAGACCTCCTTTTTGCCTGGGGACTAGATTGCCTTTGTAGGACTAACATTAGCCACAAGATTAGAAATTATAGTTTAGAAGTCATGGAGCTGGAGGCTACAAAGTTCTGACCCTCCCTAAACTGCTTCTAAGATCAGTGCTTGATATGGTTTGTAGACCCTGCACTTGATGGAGATTAGGGTTCATCTCGTGCCCTGCCCATGACTGTGTTCAGTTTCAAGTCGATTAAATGCCAGGAATGTAAATGCCACTGTTTTCTAATGCAGCTTTAATATTTTTATTTATCAAAACCCTGAAACAAAGTGTTTTTAAAATCATCTAATTTTACAAAGTAGTCCCCAAAAGTTTCTTCCTTACTTCTTCCCTAGAGCTGATGTCTTGGGAATTTTTCTCCATATCTCCAAATCACACACTTGTATTGCTACTTCTTGACTTTTAGTTAGAGGCATTATCTGTTAACCTCCTACTAGGGAAGATGTGAATTTAGTTCTGTTTTCTCCTCCTCCCCCCACCACACACATGTGCCCTCTCCCCCATCCCATTCTTTCCAATATAGTTATATGGTTAATTCCATATTCAGTGTTTACATTAGGATACTTATATTTGTTTTATTCAACTTCAGAGCTGAGTCATATAGTAAATATGATTGCTTTTCCTGTTCAATTTTGTTTTTTCTGGTATTAGTAATTATTGAGTTTTTTGTTAGTATTTTTCCTCCATTTACTTATGAGTCCTTTAGCCCCAAATTGTTTGCCAGTTTTCTAAATCTCTTCCCAACACCTTCAACACGTAGATGTTTTATCATTTTCATCTTCATGATGAAATCACTTCCAGTCCTACTACCTTTTGAACTAGTTGCCCATTATTCCTAGTGCTTAGCTCTCATCCTGGGATCTCCCTTCACCATGACCCTGGAGATTCCATTAGCTTCTCTCCTATGTTAGACTCCTGCTTCTTATATCCCGTATCTTCCTCTTCCTTGGTTTATACCCACATTTTGGTGGAGCACATCCTCTACTAACTTCCTGTGACAGAGAGGAGGTCCAGGAGAAAAGAGTTTTGAAATTCCACTTCCTAAAGATATTTAACTCTCATACTTGATAGTTTGGTTGGACATCTTCTTACATTTTCAGAAATGTAAAGTATAGAAAATATTTTCTGTCATAAAATGAGACAACATTTATATGAAAAAGCGAGGTAACATTTCCTAAATGTATCCATCCAAACTCTGAATCCTAAAGAGCAGTGCCTTCTGCTTCTCTTCAAGATGTGGCAAGTCTTAATTCCAAATAGGTGAATTTTATATTTTTATTTCTTTTTTGTTTTCAAACAGGGATCTATTTGTGATGACTATATGGTAACCCTTTGCTGTCCTCATTGTTCTCTTTGCCAAATCAAGAGAGATATCAACAGAAGGAGAGCCATGCGTGCTTTCTAAAAACTGATGGTGAGTCAATGCAAACATTCCTCTCAGAATATGTGGGTTTTCAGAAATATCACTAACGACTTTGTCAATTACTCATTGTTTTGAATAATTCAGCAATAGCTATTTCTTAAGTCTCCTGAAGTGCTATCATAATATCAAGATTGGCTTTAATTTCTTCTTATGAAGAAGATAGCTCCATACTTTGAAACTATAATTTAGTAAATAAAGGAATGGTGAATTTTCTAAACTTCTCAGAATTCTGGTGGTCTATTAAGGAAGCACTTACCAGTTGTAAAATACCAGAGTATGGTGAGATATAAAAGAATTAGAAAACATTTTCCCTGCTAAGACAAACAAGTTGACAAAAGGAATTGGTAAATAATTATAAAATAGAAGAGCAATGAAAATAACATACTATATGATATTTGGATTGATTGTGGCATAAAGCATCTATCATAGCAAGGTGAGGTTAAATAGAAAACTCCTATTGGAGAAGTTGAACTTTGAAAGAGGTGGAAATAGAATTTAGAACGTTTGGAAGTTATATGGAATTCACCATCTGAAATTCAATCAAGTCATTTCCAACTAATTTTTCTCAGGACTATCTATTGAGGATGTAGTTAAGTAGAAATCAACATGATTTACTCCATCCCCTGTAGAATATGTCTTGAGTATGGAAAGAAAACAATTTTTCTACTCTTTCTAATAGCCAATTTCCTTCCTGAAGTGATAAAGACTCTGTATAGGTTAATAAAAATAACTCTTGGGAGATATGTAAAAAAATGTTCATTTACTTAGCAAGTAATGTATCAAGGATCTAGGATCAAGTATACATTGTCTTTGCAAGTAATGTATCAATGTATCAGTATCTAAGACTAGGTAAGATACTGTTAGGTATTGTGGTGGGGTTGGGGGGCAAGATGAATAAGCTGGTCCCTCTGTCATTATAGACTTTATACTAAAAAAGGGGGATTAGACAAACCCCTAACTAAAATGCAGAATTCAATTAATGGCTATAGACAAAGTGATATTTTATGTTCAGAGGAGGAAAAGATCACATCTTATAAGATGTATAAGTGAAAGTTTCTTGAAAGAAGTGATTTTTAATTCTAAAGAAGAAGTGTGTACTAGTTCACAACGAGAAACTGATGGCACTGAAACTGTGATAGTTCAAGGATTTAATGAAGACTAAGTATAAAGGTGTGGGTGGGGCACTGTAGGGAAATAACAAGGCATGGTGTAATAATCTGCCTGGCAACAGCCCCAGGGAGGAGAAGAGGGAGCAGTTACCTGAATCCTTAAGGAGAGAGCTGTGTGAAGAAGGCTGCCCTGAAAGAAACAGTATCCTCTCAAGAGAGGGTTTTGAGCAGCCGGAGGCAACCCACAGAACTGAAAAAGTACCCTGACCTCACTTTAGGATGTCCTTCTGGGTTTCCCGTTGGCTGAACCCACCAGAAAGGCAGAAGGCAGCCAAGTGTCACTGTAGTCCCCAGGTCGCCTCCCAGGGCACGCAGCAGGATGGTCAAGGGAGTAAGTGAATTAGATGGGGCAAACAGAGGATCACTGACTCAAGATGTGGTTTTAATTAATAGAAATGGAGGCTGAGTGCAGTGGCTCACGCCTGTGATTCCAGCACTTTGGGAGGCCAAGGCAAGAGGATTGCTTTAACCTAGGAGTTCAAGACCAGCCTGGGGAACATGTTGAAACCCCGTCTCTTCAAAAAATACAAAAATTAGCTAGGTGTGGTGGTGCACACCTGTAGCCCTAGCTACTTGGGAGGCTGAGGTGGGAGGATCACTTGAGCCTGGGAGGTAGAAGCTGCAGTGAGCTATGATCACACCACTGCACTCCAGCCTGGGCAACAGAATAAGACCCTGTTTCAAAAAAAAAAAAAAAAAAAAAAAGGAAAAGAAAAAGAAAAGAAATGAAACGTTGCTTCTAATCAGCAATATTCATGAAACTAGAGAGGCAAAAAAAAAAGAGAAAATATGAACTTAGGTCCAACTTGGTTAGAACATATGGCATAAGTAGAAAAATAACGAAAAATAAAAGATTTTAAAAAGTGAATTGGGGCCTTAGCATGCAATGTCTGAATACTAAGCTAATGACCTGGTAGGAATTGGGAAGTTATTGCAGGCTTGAAGTAAATGAATAGAACTACACTTTAGAAATATGAATCTAAGGCTGGGCACAGTGGCTCATGCCTATAATCCCAACACTTTGGGAGGCCTAGGTGGGAGGATCACTTGAGCTCAGGAGTTCAGCACCAGCGACCAGCCTGGGCAACATAGCGAGACCTCATCTCTACTAAAAAGTAAAAATAAAAATAAATAAAATTTAAAAATAGTAAATATTAATCTAATAGCAGTATATAGTACAGACTGTACAGGATGAGGCTAGAAGCAAAGATGGGGAGTTAGACCATTCCAACACTGTTTACTTAAATAAATGCATGAAACAATTTACATCAAATATCTACCCACACATTGATGATAATGAGTCCTGATAGCACAAGTGTTTTCTTTAACCTCAGGGAAAATATCTCACTGAATCTTTAGATGGGTTTGAAGTAAAATACCTTGGCAGTCCTGACTCCTCCTCATCAACTTGGACCCTACATCACTCACTGGCAATAAAGCTTTAGATACACAGATATCGAAATGGGGAGAAACGAGAGAAAGAGCAAGGAATAACAACATGATTTACGTTAAAAATAGATTGAGACAAAGGACATAGGAATCAACTGGAAAGCTCCCCACAGTCCAAACTGGGACACTTTGAGGAATAAAATAAGGTCGTGTTAGATTATAACCCAAAGTGTCAAATATTTATGAGTTTATACTAACATAAATGATTGAATAAAATTTGAAAATTGAAGAAAAGTATGCGTGTTGAAAGCAGGGAAAACTGGGAATTTTGAGAATTTCTGTATGGGAGAAGAGACACAGCTGCCATACGGAACTCCACATATTTAGGTGGATACTCCTTCCTCAAGGAGAGCGGCATGATTCCCCACCGTGAAGTGGGGGTTTGCATGGTGACTTCCTTCCAAAAAGTACAGTATGAAAAGTACAGCACGCAAGTACACTTTCTATGCTGTATGGAGTAACTCCACACTGGAGAAACCTGACACAATGACCTGAGGCAGGTAATCGACGTCACCATCACTGGTAATATATTGATAGTTTGCACCCCTGATTTGATGTGATGAGAATGGCACTTTACCTTTGTGGTCTTCCTCCCAAAACCTCATTACTCCAGTCTAACCATGAGAAAACCATCAGACAAACCTAAACTGAGGCACATTCCACAAAATACCTGACTACTCCTCCTGAAAACTGTCAAGGTCATCAAAAACAAAGAGAGGATGAGAAACAGTCACAGTTTAGAGGAGCCTAAGAGAACATGACATTTAAATGTAATGTGGTATTCTGGATGAGATGCTGGAACAGAAAAAAACAGTAGGTAAAAACCAAGTAATCTGAAGATAGTATGGGCTTTGATTAGTAATAATGTGTCAGTATGGGTTCATTAATTTTGACAAACCTCCCATGGTAACGTAAGATGTTAACCAACAGGAAAATTGGGTGCTGGATACCTGAGAGCTCTCTGTACTATCTTTGCAACTTTTCCATCAATCAAAAATGATTCTGCAATTAAAAGTTTATTAAAAATTATAAAAGTACATTGAGAAAATTCAAAACTCTTCTTTGTGTGTCCTTTATAGGTGAAAAGCTCTTACCGAAGCAACAAAAATCAGCAGACACCTCTTCAGCTTGAGTTCTTCACCATCTTTTGCAACTGAAATATGATGGATATGTTTAAGTACAACTGATGGCATGGAAAAACTCAAATTTTTGATTTATTATAAATGAATGTTGTCCCTGAGCTTAGCTAAATGGTGCAACTTAGTTTCTCCTTGCTTTCATATTATCAAATTTCCTGGCTTATAAACTTTTAAAATCACATTTGAAATATAAACCAAATAAAAGATTTTACTGACAAGATTCTTCATGCCTTTTTGCTCCCCTTAAAATGTCTTTTTCACTAGTTAATTCCAAGGGTCAGTCTCATAATTTTGTTTTTATACTTTGGTTTCTTTTTTTTCTTTTCTTTCTTTTTTTTTTTTTTTAAACAGAGTTGGGGTCTATTTTTTTTTTTTTTTTTTTTGAGATGGGGTCTCGCTTTGTCACCCAGGCTGGAATGCAGTGGCGCGATCTCGGCTTACTGCAATCACCGCCTCCTGGGTAAAAGCGATTCTCCTGCCTCAGTCTCCCGAGTAACTGGGATTACAGGTGCCCACCACCACGCCCAGCTAATTTTTGTAGTTTTAGGAGAGACGGGGTTTCACCATCTTGGCCAGGCTGTTCTCAAACTCCTGACCTCGTGATCCACCCGCCTCGGCCTCCCAAAGTGCTGGGATTACTGGCATAAGCCACCGTGTCCAGTCTAGAGTTGGGGGTCTTTCTATGTTGCCCAGGCTGGCCTTGAACTCCAGGCCTCTAGCAAGCCTCCCATCTCAGCCTCCCAAGGTGCTGGAACTACAGGTGTGAGCCGCTGCACCAGGCCTCATACTTTGGTTTCTGAGCAGGAGATTTTGTTCCACAGTAACCCAGCTCTCTTTCATCTAAGAACTTTAGATGAGAGAAAGAAAAAAATAGACTACAGATAACTATTCCAAGGCAGTTATGGTACATTTAGCCAACACTTTTGCTTCTTCTCATGCTACCTGTTAGTATTAATGCTGGCAAAGCAAGATTTTATGCAAAACAACATACCAAGCCTTGCTTTTCCACTGTATTCCTGAGGGGGTTATTTATTGTGTTGTTGATTTTCTTTCCCTTTTGAATATGAGATATCAGAGTAAGAAAATGTCAATGATCAAATTCAATGACACAATTTTGGTTAAATATTGATGGATAAAGGTGTAAAATGATTTTTTTCACATTTCTTATCCCATTTGATCCATCAGCATCATTTTGCCCTGATGAAAATTTCACTTCCTAATTTCCCCTAGTTCTCCTCCTACACTTCTGATTCCATTTCTTTTTCCTTGGTGGGGGGGGAGGGAAGTAAGGGGCAAAACTATTTATCTTATATATTTATTGTGAAATCTCGGTGAGACAAAATGTCAAAGCACCTGGAACTTAGTAGGCACTCAACAAATTCAAGCACTCTGCCCCTTCCTCCACTTACTCTACAGATGCAGGTGCTTTGCAGGGTTCTAGCTTGGGTCCACTCCTTTCACATCTCATGTTCTTAGATAGTATCATCTACTCCCATGGTTACAACTACCTCTTAGGACCCCAAAGTCTGTACTTCCAGTTTCTCCCTTACTATTGATCTTCAGAATGTCTCTCTTGCTAGCTGTGAAAACGAGTCCATCTGGATGTCCCCTAGACCTTGTCTACCCAACAGGTCCAATGATATCACTTAGTTTTTCAAGGTGAGAAATCCAGGTACCAATGACCCCTGAATTGCCTCATCGCACCTTTCTCCTTTTCCCCGATATCCAATTTCACCCACTCTGTCACCAATACTCCACTTGAAAGCCCCAAGGGGTGATCTATTTTGTTTGCTGCTGTATTTCCAGTGTCTACAACAATGCCTGACACTTAGTAGGTACCTACTCAATCGTTTATTGAATGAATTAATCTCTCCTCTCCTCTTTGCTGGCATAAATGTAGTCCAAACCTTATTATCTCTTTGGCAAATCACGTTCATACCCTTTAAACTAAACTTCCTGCCTCTAGAAACTCCAGCTTCTCTTGCCTTCTCTCCAGTCCATCCTATACACCGTGTACCATGAGTTAAATTGTGAATTTTTTTTTTTTTTTTTGAGATGTAGTTGCACTCTTGTTGCCCAGGCTGGAGTGCAATGGCACAATCTTGGCTCACAGCAACCTACACCTACCGGGTTCAAGTGATTCTCCTGCCTCAGCCTCCCGAGTAGCTGGGATTACAGGCACGCACCACCACCCCGGATAATTTTGTATTTTCAGTAGAGACAGGGTTTCTCCATGTTGGTCAGGCTGGTCTTTTTTTTTTTTTTTTTTTTTTTTTTCCAGACAGAGTCTCGCTCTGTCCCCCTGGCTGGAATGCAGTGGCGCGATCTCGGCTCACTGCAAGCTCCGCCTCCCGGGTTCCTGCCATTCTCCTGCCTCAGCCTCCCAAGTAGCTGGGACTACAGGCACCTGCCACCGCGCCCGGCTAATTTTTTGTATTTTTAGTAAAGACGGGGTTTCACCGTGGTCTCGATCTCCTGACCTTGTGATCCGCCCGCCTCGGCCTCCCAAAGTGCTGGGATTACAGGCGTGAGCCACCGCGCCCGGCCGGTCAGGCTGGTCTTGAACTCCCGATCTCAGGTGATCCACCCGCCTCGGCCTCCCAAAGAGCTGGGATTACAGGCGTGAGCCACTGCGCACAGCCAAATTGTGAATTTTCTTAAAAAAACAGGCCCCAGTATTTTCCTTGGTTCTTCACAGTGTAGCCAGCCTCATTTTACCTCTTTAGCCCACTCTCCTGCCAATTTTCATTCATAAAATTCCCAATCTTCCCTGCCTTCAAGATACATACTTTTTAAAAATTTCAAATTCCGGCCGGGCGAGGTGGCTCAAGCCTGTAATCCCAGCACTTTGGGAGGCCGAGACGGGCGGATCACGAGGTCAGGAGATCGAGACCATCCTGGCTAACACAGTGAAACCCCGTCTCTACTAAAAAATACAAAAAAAAAAAAAAAAAAAAAAAACTAGCCGGGTGACGTGGCGGGCGCCTGTAGTCCCAGCTACTCGGGAGGCTGAGGCAGGAGAATGGCGTGAACCCAGAAGGCGGAGTTTGCAGTGAGCTGAGATCCGGCCACTGCATTCCAGCCTGGGCAACAGAGCGAGACTCCGTCTCAAAAAAAAATAAAAATAAAAATAAAAATTTCAAATTCCAATTGTTCATTGCTGGTATATAGGAAAGCAATTGACTTTTGTACATTAACCTTCTATCCTGTGATCTTGCCGTGATTGTTTATTAGTTTCAGGAGACTTTTTGTATGTGTTTCTATATTGACAATCATGTTGACTGTGAACAAAGACAGTTTTATTCCTCCTTCCCAATCTGTTTAAAGCTGCATTTCCTTATCTGGTCTTAATAGCTAGGATTCTGGTATGATATTAAATAGGAACATGAGAGTAAACATCTTTGCCTTGCTCCTGACCTAGGGTGAAAGCATATAGTCTCTCATCATTAAGTATGATGCAGGTTTTTTGTAGATCTTCTGTATCTGATTGATGAAGTTCCCCTCTATTTCTCGTATACTGAACATTTTTTGTTTTTGAACTTTTTTTTTTCTTCAGATTATGTTTTTTTCTAACCTTTTAGCATGCTTTATAATTTTTCGGTTGAAAGACAGACATGAGGCATCAGGTAATAGGTAATTAGGCTTTTTTTTTTTTGAGACAGTCTTGCTCTGTGTCCACAGCTGGAGTGCAGTGGCACAATTTCGGCTCACTGCAACCTCTGCCTCCCAGGTTCAAGCAATTCTCCTGCCTTAGCCTCCCAAATAGCTGGGATTATAGGTGTGCACCACCACACTCAGCTAATTTTTCTGTTTTTAGTAGAGATGGGGTTTCGCCATGTTGTCCCGGCTGGTTTTGAACTCCTGGTGTCAGTGATCCGCTCGCCTCAGCCTCTCAAAGTGCTGGGATTACAGGCATGAGCCACCATGCCCAGCCGGTAACTAGGCTTTTAATATGAGGCTTTATATTAATTTGGATAGGAGCTGGGCTGTATTTGAGGTTTACTGTAGCTGTCATTGTTACCATTTTACTTTTTTGTATGTATTTATTTTTACCATTTAAGAAAATATCCAAATAGTTACCATTTTAGTGTTCCTACCAGTCACTGACCAGCAGCCTCTTCTCCCAGTAAGCTGACCTCAATTGTGAGTCTCTGTATTTGCCTGTCTCTCCAGGGTTTTGAGTGGTGGTTTGCCCTGTGACTTTAATTCTTCCATGGATCAAAGAAAAACCATTGATATTCCAATCTGTTCAGTTTTTTTATTTTGCTGTGAGGAGGGATGACTTCCAAGCTCTTTACATGTTGAAGCTGACACTAAAAGTCACCTACATACTTTTTCAAGTCCTTTCCCCATGTTTTTCTATAAAGCTCAGCTAAAATAACCCTCTGTGGAGCCTTCCCTGACTTCTCTCTCCTAAATGAAGAGCTACTCTCTGTGTGCTCTAGTAGTTGGAGCAAATACAAGGATTAAACTTACTGTCTCTTGGCTCTTTGACTCTTTGGACGCCTGGAGAACACGCATTATGACTCAACTTTGTATTTCTAGCATATGGCATAAATCAATGTCTGTTGAAGGAAAAGGGAACAAAATACTCTTCGCTAACTAAAAACAAAGTACTACTTTTATTTGGCTCATTTCTCCATTTATTGAATAACCACATTTGGAGAGGCATGAAGCACTTAAGTTTTACATGACTACAAAGTTATCACAAATCTCAAACTTTTTAGCCACAGATATTTCACCTCTGTTTAAAGAAAAAGCTTTCAAAACATCTGAGTTAGCTTAATACACAGAGAACCTGAAATATACGGGAACTACATATTTTTAAATGCTTGTACTTCCTGCTCTAATAATGTCTTCTTTAAACGGAATCCAGCATAAAAGGGATTGAAATGTATAAGGTCATGATGCAAATGCTTTGGAGATAGTGAAACTGATCTGCACAACATGGAAAAAGATGTCATGTGCACAGAAGTTCTGCAAGGATTCATTGAGCCATCTGGGCTTCCATGGCTTGTGCTGTCCATTCTGGTGCTGTTTGACTAATTTTCTCCAAAAGGTTATTCACTTGGAAACAAAGTGATTGGATCTGCTTGTCCCACGTTGGCAGGGCTTCTCGTGCTAAGGGGAAAAAAAATGTACAAAATTAAAATTATTCCTTTGTATTCACAGCAACTGTGAGTTAAAAGATACACACTTTTTACATGCCTATTCTTGGAG